AAGCTTATAGTGGGGCAATAAAGATAGTAGATAGTAGGGTGCCATATTGCATCCACACAAAACTGTTCATCAGAGTCAACAGGTCAAAGTTCTGTTACCATCTATTACTATTACTTCTTTCTATTACTAGAAAAAGTGCTATTACTTCTTTCCATCTAACTCTAAGGAAGCTGTTCCTGTGCTAAACTAGTGCTGGGAAGCTAAAATGGACTGGATGCATGTAAACAAATTGAAGCTTAGTTGAAGACAGAGATGCCCCTAGTAAACTGAAATACAGATCTGGGAATAGGGATTCAGACAGTGTTAGCCAGGGTTATACTCCCCCTGAAAACTCAGGTTCACAGTTTGGAAGTAGTTTGGATTCAGTTATGAACCTGGAAGCCAAGTTTTCAACAGTGATCAGGAGCGCATTTATTCAGTTAAAGCTAGTATGTCAACTGTGTCCCTTCCCTGAGAAGTCAGATCTGACTGTGGTATTTGGCCATGATATTTGTTATATCCCATCTGGATTACTATAATGTGCTTTACATGGGGCTACCTTTGAAAAGTGCTCAGAAACTTCAGTTGGCTCAAGGAGCTACAGCCAGATTGGCTACCAGAAGCACAAAACTTCTTTGTTGCAACAGCTCCTCTGGTTGCCAGTCTGTTTCTGGGCACAATTCAAAATGCTAGTTTTAACCTCTAAAACCATATATGGCTTGGGTCCAAGTTATCTGAAGAACAATATCTCACAATATGAGCCCATTAGAGCTCTCAGATCATCTGGAGAGGCCCTTGTCTCCATCTCACCATCCTCTCAGGCTTGTTTGGTGAGAACAAGGGAGAGGGCTCCCAGACTTCCCAGGATAGTTCCATATTTGTTCTCCTTCTATTGGCAAGTAAAAATATGCTTTTACAGACTGATGAGGGTTTGTTGTTCAAATTGTATTTTAAGATGTGTATATAGTATTTTAATACATTTTAATATTTTTCATGTTTAATGTTTTTAACTTCATAAATTGTTTAATTGTTTTTTGCATATTATATTTATACTACTTAATACTTTTGTATTGTTTTTAATTTTGTATTGTTTCAAACATGTTTTTAGACACCCTGAGTTCCAATATCAGGAGAAAGACAGGATATCAATTTATTGTTATTGTTATTGTTATTAAGTAAGCGTGAAAGAATAATCTTCTCTTTTCACCTTGATCTGTAAGAAACTCAAGGAAGAGGGAGGAAGGATATAATACAAGCATATAAAGGCCTTTAAGCTAGCTAAGATTCATGTACATACCTTCCAACTGTCCTGGTTTGAGCTTGGCTGGTGGGTTAACTTATTGTGGGCATCAGTATGAGTGGAACCTGGGGCTGTCTCACATTACACACTTATAGCACTATGATTCCATTTTAACTGCCATAGTCCCATCCTATGGAATTCTGGGATCAGCAGTTTAGCATATCTTCTGGCTATCCCAGTTTAGCAAGGATAATCCTGATTAATTCTCTGCCATCCCACCTTTCCAGTTGCTTTTTAAATGTCCTATTTCAGTCTGTTGCTGTGTGCCTTCAAGTCATTTCTGTCTTAGGGAAACCCTAAGGCAAACCTATCATGAGGTTTTTTGCAACAAGTTTTCTTCAGAGGGGGGATTCCATTTGCCTTGGGCTAAGAGAGTGTGATTTGTTCAAGGTCACAAAGTAGATTTCCATGGCCAAGTGGGGATTCAAACTCTGGTCTCCAGAGTCATAATCCAGGGCTCAAACAATTGCACCACTCTGTTCCTCAGTTTATGTCTCCTCCTCCCTATTTCCCTCTTTTCTCTTTGCTTACTGTAACTGTTGCATACTCAGTACAAAATGGAAAATAGTTTGCACTCAATTAACATGGGAAAGAGGTGGAGCAGCTTCTTGCCCTTCCCAGTATGCTCAAACAAAAGAACTATTACAGCCTCTCCTAGCTTGTGTATTCTTCCTCATTTATAACTTTTTGCCATCTTGACCATGTTCTGATGTTGCCTGGCTTTATATGTCTTGGTTTTCATCTATGAAGTATTGGAGGGTGTGTACAGTAAGCAGATACACACAAGCACCTATTGTTAGTGTGTGGATGA